TTTGGGTCCCCGCGACCGCAACGGCGCCTACCCCTGCCCCGCGGGCTGCTCGCGGACCTTTGCCCACGCGCCGGCGGCGGTCCACCACGCCAAGTCCTGCGAGTTCGGGGGGGCGCGGCCGCCGCCCGCGCCGCCGCCGCCGGAAGGGGAAGCGCCGGCGGAGCCGGCCGTGGCTGCGGCGCCCGCGACACCGTCTTAATTGAAGTTCCAAGGTTCAGTCATCTTGACTCTTCACGAGCGGCCCTTGGTCAGCACCAGCATTCCGCGCGAACACGATGGTGATGCGATTTACGCGCGTCACGGCGCTGTGTTCGGCGGCGGTGCTCGGCGTCTGCGGCATGCGCGCCGAGACGCAGCCCGACCTGCGGCGGCTGCCGCGGCGCGCGACGCACCCGCCGCCGCTCGAGGCGTCGGCCGCGTCGACGGGCGAGGCGCACGCGCCGCCGCACGCGCCGGTCCACGAAGCGCCCGCGTCCTCGCGGCGCGAGCTCTGGGACTGCACCTACGGCCTCTGCCCCGCGCCGTCGGCCGCGCCGTCGCTCCCGGCGGCGGCCTGCGTCGACGGGAACGGCACGGCGGCGGACGCGCTGGGCCGGGGCTGCGACGCCTACGCGGCGGCGCCGGAGTCGTGCGGCCTCTACGACGATTCGGACTTCCGCGCGGCGGCCCGGTGCTGCGCCTGCGCCGCGGCGGCGGCCCGGAACGCGTCGGGCTGCGGCGGCGGCGTCCACGCGCCCGGCGCGGGCGCGACGCTCGAGGACCGGCGCTTCTTCGACCCGCTGCCGCTCGCGTCGGGCTGCCCGGCGCTCGTCGAGCTCGAGGCGGGCACGTCCTTCTACATGCGGCTCGACGGCTTCGACGTCGCCGTCGACGGGCGGCTCCCGACGCTCCTCGTGGAGTGGGACGTGGCGCCCGCGCCGCCCGCCGTGCTCCTCTTCTCGTTCCGGGGCGTGCCGCGGCGCGCCGAGGCCGGCGTCGCCGACGCGCGCGACTGGTACCTCTGGTCCACGTCGAGCAGCTCGTCGGCGCGCTACGGCCAGCGCGACGACGGCCTCGACGTCTACCACTGCAGCGGCTCCGCGTGCTACGCGGACGACTTCCGGACGGCCTTCGGGGGCACGCTCTACGTGACGCTCTTCACGGGCTACAACGTCGAGGCGACGTCGGCGGCCCTGACGGTGACGAAGCTCTACTCGTCGCCGGCCATCGACGCCGACGACCTCGCGACGGTCAAGCGGCTCTGGGCGGACAACTGCGCGCCCTGGTTGGCGCCGCCGGGCTGGTCCTGGCCCGTGTACATGAACACGGACTACCCCAAAGAGTTTGGCGAGCGCGATTCGCGCGACAAGCCCTACTGCGACTGGTGGCCGTCTATGACACCGGAGGGCCTCGGCGCCGTCGCGTCCTGCGACGACGTTCCCGGCGTGGAGTGCGGCGCCGACGGCTCCGTGCGCGACCTCGTGCTCAACGACTTCGGGCTCCGCGGCGCGCTGCCGGCCGACTTTGCGCTGCCGCGCTGCGAGGTGCTGCTGCTCCAGAACAACCGCCTCGAGGGCCCGGCGCCGGACTTCTTCTTCGAGGCCGAGGATCTGGAGGAGCTCATGGTCTCGAACAACCGCTTCGTCGGGGACCTGCGGTGCCCGAGCTCGCCGAAGCCGGCGCGGCGCATCTTCAACGCGGAGCGCAACGGCCTCCGCGGCCCCGTGCCGACTTGCTTCCTCGCGTCGTACCCGCGGCTCCAGCACCTCTACCTCGGCGCCAACGACCTCGGCGGCGAGCTGCCGGCGCCCGCGGCCGGCGCCGCCGCGGACCTCGTCGTCCTCGACGTGCGCAAGGCGGGCCTCTCGGGCCCCGTGCCCCCGGGCCTCGCGGCCGCGCGGAGCCTCGCGACGCTGGCGCTGAGCCACAACTACCTCACGGGGCCGCTGGACTCGACGTTGCTCAACGCCTTCCCGAACCTCTACTCCTTCGACGCGTCCTACAACCGGCTCACGGGCCCGCTGCCGACGGTGTCCTGCTGCGTGCCGCACCTCCGCCACCTCGTGCTCAAGAACAACCGCTTCAACGGCAGCGTCGCGAGCGCGCAGTTCGACGCCTTCGCGGCGACGCAGACCGAGTCGGCGACGTCCGAGCTCTCCATCGCGCACAACTCGCTCAGCGGGCCGCTGCCGAAGATCCTGAAGACGTTCTTCTACGGCGCGGACGCGCGGCTCTCGCGCATCGACGTGTCGTCCAACAACTTCCGCTGCTCGAAGGCCCACGGCAACGCCTACTTCGAGGACTGGGCCCACTTCATGTCCCAGGACATTGGCATGTGCGCGCCCGTGCCGCGGCCCCGGCGGGTGCGGAACGGCAAGATCTACCCGGGCGTCGATTTGCTGATCGAGGGCGCGGACTACCTCGCGACGGCGGAGCTCGCGTGCCGGTTCACGGACGTGGAAACGGGCGCCGTCTTCGGCTCGCGGGCCGCCTACCGGGCGCCGGACCTCGTGTCGTGCGCGCTGGCCTACGCGTCGTCGCTGGCGGCGCTCGCGAAGCGCGGCGCGGACCTCCGCGTCCAGGTCGCCAACTACGGCGACGACTTCTCGTCCGCGGCGACGCTCGCCAAGTACGACGACCTCATCGTCCACGTGACCATGCCGCCGGAGGACGACGAGCGGGAGGTGCTCTCGCGGCAGGCGATGATCGGCCTCATCTGCCTCGGCGTCCTGGTCGTGGTCCTCGCGGCCGTCGCCTCCGTGCTCTTCTTCTGCTTCCGCAAGGAGCGCGACGCCCACTATGACCTCCTCCGCATCAACGCGAACCAGGACGGCATGCTGCTGTAAGGTGCTTTGTTTTGGGTGCGTGCGTGCTGCGAACTCGTTTGCTTCTGAAGCCCATGGATATCCTCGTCGGGGCCGACGCGGTCGGCACGGATCGGCCCGGCTTCGGCCGGGTCTTCGAAGAGGGCGCGGGCCTCGACTGGACGGAGACCCTGTCGTTCGAGGCCTCCGACGGCGCCGCGAACGACCAGTTCGGCGCGAGCGTGGCCCTGGGCGACGACTACGTCGTCGTGGGAAGCAGCAACGGCGGCGCCGCGTACGTCTTCGGCGGCGGCGCGTACGTCTCGGGCGCGGCCGCCCGCTACGGCCGCGGCGCGGCGGCGCTCCTCGCCGTCGCCGCGGCGGCGCTCTAGGGACGATGCTAATTCAGAGAGAGACGTGGCACGGTCGAGCTTTCAAGGTTAGCCTCCTGGCCAAAACACGATGGCTGCTTCAAGAAAAAACGAGATGTCAGTGCTCGCACGCGGCAACCCGTTTTGCTGAAGCCGACTTTGAATGAGCACGCCGGCGCGCGAGATTATGAGCACCGGCCAAGACTGAACCCGCGCGCGCGCGCGCAAGGCTCCGACATGGTTTTGTCCGAAGCCGCTTGCGACGCGGTGGAGTGCGGGGACCTTCGAGGAGTCGAGGTCGCGCTCGCAACTGGCACGGACGTGAACGATATGACGCTTGATGGCGATACGATGCTCATAATTTCGATAGACGCCGAGGAACGCGACATAGCCAGATTTCTTCTAGAGCATGGCGCGAACCCGAACATCATCGCCGATGAAGGTGACCTTACGCCGTTGATCGTCGCCAAGACCGCGCCTGTCATCGATCTCCTCGTCGCCCATGGCGCTGAGCTTGATTATCAAGAGGCGGCGGACGGTAATACAGCGCTACATGAACGCGCAGGGTATCCACCAACTGCTGAGAATTACGACGCCGTTCGCGCTCTGCTGAGACATGGAGCTTCAACGAAACTCGAAAATAACCAAGGTAGGAATGCGGTCGAGGAATGTGAATTTTGGGTCGATTGTCGCAGTGAACAACATGGAATGTTAACTGAAGTTGAAAGAGTCATACAATATGCAGCCTCGAATAGATCTGGATGTCATTTGCGCCTTCTCAGGCAGGTGAGCACAGCTGGGTCATGGAAGGGCTACCTGCGCGAACCCGTCGTGCAGCTCCTCGCGCTACGCTACCTCTCCCTGGCCGGCCGCGCGACGGCGCCGGCGAATCTGCTGCGCCTCTTCGGAGCTCCGCCCATCCCCAACGCCGGACGCGCGCGGACGCGTGCGCGCCGCGTCGCCAGTAGCGCCGCGGGGACGCTTCTGCCCGACGAGGTGTTCAAGCTCATCTTGGACTTCTGGAACGAGCGCGTTTAAATATAGACGCGCATCCCCTCAAAACCGGAAGTAGAACACGGTCCCCGGCTGGATGACGAGGTTGAAGCCCGACGGGGGCGGCGGCGGACGCCGCTTGAGCTCCTCCGCCTCGAGGAAGCGGCGCTTTGCGTCGTCGTCGCCGACGGCCTCGTAGGCGCGCGCGACCTTGACGAAGACGGCCTCGTCGCCGCCGCGGTCCGGATGGTGCGCCTTCGAAAGCTCGCGGTAGGCGCGCTTGATGGCCGACACCTCGGCGTCGCGCGGCACGCCGAGGACGACGAAGGGGTCCTCGCTGTCGTAGCGGCGCCGGTTCCGCTTGTCGAGCTCGGCTCGCACCGTCCGCTCGACGTCCGCCTGGAGCCGATCGCCGAGGAAGCCGTGGCGCGCCGCGACGGCTTCCGCGAGCGCGCGCGGCTCGTCGCCGTCGTGCACGTGCATGCGCGCGCGCCGGCCCGATCCCGGCAGCGTCAGGTCCAGCGGGAACAAGACGTCGCGCGCCGTCCGCCGCGCGCAGGCGAAGCGGCCGCAGAGGTGGTCGACGATGGACTCGAAGGACGCGGCCGCGTCGCGCGGCGCGTGGTCGAAGACGAACGCCGCGGCGGCGTCGGCGGGCTCGACGCCGGGGTACAACACGAGCGCCTTCTCTTTGCCGTCGTAGCTGACGCGCAGCGTGTAGCGCGGCGCGGCCTGCGCCGCCGCATAGGCCGCGAGCGGGAGCAGCGCCCGCATGCTCAGTCCTCTTTGTCGAGGTCGTCGGGCAGCTGCGGGATCGTCTTCCGCTTCCGCGACTGCACGAGCGCCAGCGCCGCGACGAGGCCCAGCGCGACGGCGCAGGCCACGGCGGCCGGTGAGATCTCCATGCCTACGGAACGACCGGGTCGGAACTCTTTGCGTCTCTGCCATCGGACGCTGCGTCATGCTTCGAATGGCTCACAGGCCCATTAGCGGACCCTTGGTTGAAGCCTGATTGCCTTCAAGGTGATGCTACATTTACTTCACGCACGCGCCTGGGGGCCACGCGGTCCAGGGCGTCGCGCGCGGCGCGGATACGTTCGCGCCGCCCGCCGTCGTGGGCCGGAGGGGCACGCCGACGACGGGCGCGCCGGGCGCGGGCTCCGCGTACTCGAGCGGCCATCCCGGCGGCCGCGGCGCGCCGGCCGCGGGGTTCACGTAGGGCGCCATGGCGGCCTCGTCGAGGGCGTAGCAGGAGCCGTTGCGCCCGCCGGCGGCGTACGTCTCGAGGGCGCCGGCGAGGTCCGCCGCGTCGAGGAGCGGGCCCGAAGCCCTCGGGTACGTCCACTTGCCGCCGCGGTTCGCCGGCCGGCGCCATTTCACGGGCAGCGCGCAGCCCAGGTGCGCGTAGGGCATGGTCCAGGTGAGCATGAGCTTGAGCCCCCGCGCGTAGAGCGCCGCGAAGTAGACGAAGCTCGACAGCGAGTCGACGACGACGTCGAAGTCGTCGGAGAGCTCGAGGAAGTCGTCGAACTGGCGCCCGTTGGAGTGCTGCGACGCGAGGCGCCGGTGGGGCCCGCGCTTCTTCCGCGGCGCCGCGCGGTGTTGCGGCGGCCGGCGGCCCGGCGACCGCGGCGGCGCGCGCGGCGCCTTGACCTTCACGGTGACGCCCGGGGGCGACGGCGCGCCCTTGAGCTCGGCCGCGAGGGCGTTGGGGTCCTCGGTGACGACGCAGGCGAAAATGGACGTGTATTTCGCGCGCGCGCTGCCCGGCGCCGCCCGCTGGAGCGCCGCGCGGAGCTCCGCGAGCACGGCCCGGTACACGTCCCAGCCGACGTAGCGCCACTTCGGGCAGTCGCCGCGGCGCACGTGGATGCCCACGGTCAGCGTCCCCGGCGGCAGCGAGGCCCTGGGCACGTCGCCGCAGATCGCGGGGCCGTCGAGGCGCGGGTGGAACGCGAAGCGCCGCGCTCTCAGGAACTCGGCGACGCGCGGGTGCGCGTGCGTGCAGAGGTTGCAGCCGTCCTTGCCCTCGCCCTTGAGCTCGAGCAGGAGGCCCGCCGGCTCGCCCGCGAGCCGCGACCGCCAGGCCTCGACCTTGGCCTGGTCGAGGAACTGGGGGCTGCCCGCGCCCGCGAGGTTCCGGCACGTCTTCGACCCCGACCGGAAGTCGAGCCTCGCGCGCGCGAGGCCCGCGGCGCAGGCCGCGGGCGCGACGCGGCCCGCGCCGCAGGCTTCGCCGCAGGCGTCGCCCCGGTCCATGCCCAGCAGGCGCGTGATCGACTGGTCGCTGCTCGCGTGGTGCCGGTCCATGACGAGGGACACGTCGAGCGTCGACGCGAGGAGCAGGCCGGCGACGACGGTGCAGAGGCTGTTGCCCATGCCGCCCGCGTTGAACGCGAAGTCGAGGAAGTGCCGCGGCGCCATCGTCGTCACGGTTGGCTCGCCTTCATATGAAAACTGGTTGCTTGAACCATCATGGTGCCGTTAATCTCCGAACAATTTCTTTAGCGCGGTGCGGAGCCGCGCGGCCGCACTCTCCCCGCGCCTTCGTCGCGATGCTGCGCCGCTGGGTGCCCGACGCCTGGCTCGCCGACGACCGCCCGGCCGCCGTCGACGCGGCGGCCGGCGCGCTCCGGCGGGGCCGCGACGGCCTGCTCCTGCTCTGGCGCTGCGAGCCCGTGCGCGCCGCGCGCGTCGCCGTGCCCGCCTTCGCCCGCGGCGCGCTCGCCGGGGCCCTGGGCCGCGCGCCCCGGGGCGGCGACGGCGGCCCGCGCAAGGCGACGCTCCTCGCCGCGCCGGCGGACTGGCCGGGGGCCGTCGGCGGCCGCGCGAGACGCGGCGCGGGCATGGGCTGGCGATCCGCGGACGCCGCGCTCTTCTCCGCGGGCCTGCGGCGCGTCGACGTGCGCAGCACCGACGACGACGGCTGGACGCGGGTCCACGTCGGCGACCTCGAGGCCTGCGCGGCGGCGGACCGCGCCGCAGCCGTCCTCGGCCGCCTCGAGGCGCTGTTGGCGGAATCGCGTCCGGGCGCGCCCGCCGCCGGCCGCCGCGACCCCCCGCCCCCGCCGGCGAAGCGCCCGGCGCGGCCGGCCGTCGCCGTCGATCTCGTCGCCGAGCTCAAGCGGGCCCAGGAGGCGAAGCGGCGGAAGGCCTACGAAGCGACCGCGGCGGCGGCGGCCGAAGTCGCGGACAGGGTGCTCGCCGCGCCGGAGCCGGCGTCCGTCGCCGAGGTCCTCGCGCTCGCGCGGGACCTGCGCGACGACGTCGACGCCGTCGGCCTCGACGACGACGCGCGCGAGGCCGCGCCCGGCGGCTCGCTGCGCGCCGCGCGCGCGCGCTGGCGGGCGCTCGACGCGCTCCGCGGCGCCTGCGCGCGGCTCGAGGCCGTCGTCGCGCCCGTCGTCGCCGCCTGCGACGCCGTCGGGGGCAGCGCCCTCGACGCCGCGGACGCCGCGGACGGCCTCCGCGCGGTCGTCGCCTCGCTCGACGCCGCGGACTGCGGCGCGGCGCCTTTCCTCCGGGACCGCGTCGACGACGCGCGGCGCCGCGTCGTCACCGCCTGTGGCGTCGCCGCGGAGCGCGCCGCGGCGCGCGCCGCGGCCGCGACGTCCGGCGCGACGGCCGCCGCGGACGCGCGGCGCGCGCGCGGCGACCTGACGACGCCGAGCTCTGCGCGAAGCTCGCGGCGATGGATTTTTGACCGCGCCNCGCGACGCTCGAGGTCACGGTCCGCGGCCGCGGCGGCCTGGGGCGACGCCGAGCTCTGCGCGACGCTCGCGGCGATGGGTTGTTGAGCGGGGGTCGATGCTTGGATAAGGTATTTGCGCTTAAACGGGGCGGCGGGGCCGTCCATGATTGCGCGGCGACAAAGTTGACCTTCTCCTTGAACCATCCAAACGAGAGCCAACTCGACGCGCGCATCGAGGTCTCCCGCCAAAAAGCCCAGCCTGCTATCTTCTGGCCCCGTAGGCCAGCACATCTGCACCGAACTCGCCTCGCCACGCGCGAGCAAGGAGTGCTCAAAAGCGCAAGACCAAACGCGACGAAAAGAAGGCACGACGGCGCCGCGCCGCACTCATACGATGCCGCGCAGAAGCAGTCGCCTCGTCGAGACGGCCGCGCCAGCTGAGGAGGGCGGCGACCTGCTCAAGGTCCTCGACGACCTCGAGGCCAAGGAGGCTCTCGACGTGTCCGACGTCGTGGAGCTCTACCGAGCGCTCTCGCTCGATTCCGCGGTCGACGCTTCCGCCGAATCCCGCGCCTTCGCCCTGATTGATCCGCTGGTTTCTGCGGGCTACGCCGGCGCGGGCGTCGACGCCGGCGCGGGCGTCGACGCCGTCGCGCTCGAGGCCTGCGCGTTGACACTCGCTCGCGGGGCGGCGTGCTGCGGACTCGGGGCGGAGCGCGCGGGCGCGTGCTGCGGCCTCGTGCGGCGCGCGGCGGCGGCGGCCGCGGCGCCGCGCGACGCCGGTGCCGCCCCCCCGGAACCGGGCGCGCTCGTCAAGCTCGAGGAGTGCTTCGGCTGGGCCGGGGCCCTCGCGCGCGCCCGGGCGCTCGAGGACGCGGCCGTCGCGGCGCTCTGCGGCGCCGCGTTCGCCGCGCTCCGCGTCGACGCCGCGACGGACGAGGCCGAGGGCGCGCGGCGCGGCGCCCTCGGCGTCGTCGGCGAGGTCTTCGGCGCCTACGCGGGCCACCGCGGGGCCCTCGTCGAGGACTGGTTCGACCACGCCGCGGCCGCGGGCGACGCGCCGCGGAAGCGCAAGGGCGGAACCGCCGCGTTCCGCCTCGACGGCGGGTCGGCCCCGGGCGGCGCCCGCGTCGCCTGGGCGAGCGCCTGGTGCCTCGTCGCCGTCCAGGGCGCCGTCGGCGCCGACGACGACGCGGGCGGCGACCCGGACGCGCCGCCGTCGGCCGCCGCGGGCGACCGCGTCGCCGCGCGGCTCGCGCGGGGCCTCCTCGAGCGCGCGGGCGCCGCCGGCGAGCAGGGCGGCGACAACGCAAACGAGTGGCGGTCGCGCGCCCTCGCGCTCTGCGACGACGCGGCCGCGGCGCTGCCCTCCGCGGAGTGGCCCGCGGCGGAGACGGTGCTCCGCGCCCTGGCGTCCGCGGCGTCCGCGGAGCTGCGGGCGAAGCGGCCCGAGGGCGCCGTCTGCTTCCTCGTGGATGTGGTCGCCCGCGTCGCCGCGGCGCTCACGGCGCTCCGGCGCCGCGAGGCCGAGGCGGGCGCGTCCGCGCTCCCCGCGGGCGCGACGTTCGGCGGAGAGGCGGGCGCGTGCGCGCTCGCGGGCGACGCCGCGCCCCTCGAGCAGACCGTGGCGCTCCAGCAGCTCGTGCTCAACGGCCTCGAGGAGCGGAAGAGCGAGCGCTGGGCCGCCGTCGCGCGCAAGTTCGCCGTCGCCAAGTGGTTCGGCGAGCTCCCCGCGGACGCGGAGGCGCTCCGCGCGCACCTCGCGGGCCAGTTCGCGGGGCGGAGCGCGCTCATGATGCGCCGCGGCGACTGGGACGTCGTCCTGCCCCGCGACGCCCTCGCCGGCTGCTGCGTGGCCGTCGCGAACCGGTCGCGGCTCGGCGACGCGCGCGTGCAGCTGACGCACCAGGTCGCGGCGCTCCTCGGCCACGACGGCGCCGCCGTGCGCTGCCGCGCGTTGAAGGCGCTGGATGGCGTGGCGCGGGAGCGGGGCGGCGGCGACGCGCCCCTGCTCCGCGACCCCGTCGTGCGCCGCGCGGTGCTCTCGCGGTTCCTCGACGAGGCCATCTCCGTCCGCGCGGCCGCCGTGGACCTCGTGGGGAACCACGCCCTCGACGCGCCGGAGACGCTTTTAGCCTACCACGGCGAGCTCCTCGAGCGGCTCCTCGACGCGGGCGTGTCCGTGCGCAAGGCCGTCGTGCGCATCCTCGAGAAGTCGCTCGCCGTCCGCGGCGAGCAGCTCCGCGAGCTCCACAAGCGGACGCTGCTGGCGCTGCTGGACCGGGCGTCGCGGCCCAAGGAGGAGCAGACCGTCAAGGATCTGGTGGGGGACGTGATCCGCGACGCCTGGTTCGCCGAGCGGGGCGCGGACGAGGAGGCGGCGGCGCCGGAGAAGGTGTCGCCGAGCTCCGTGATCCTTGAGGACGTCGCCCAGAAAGAGCTGCCGCCGCTCGACGCGACGACGCGGCAGATCGTCGACGTCGCCGCGGCGGCGCGCGGCAACGACGGCCGCGTCGCCGAGGTCCTCGCGGCCGCGCTCGCGTCGAGCCGCGCGGCGGGGTCCGACGCCGCGAACGCGAAGCGCGAGAAGCGGGCCGCCGTCGCCGCGGCGCGCGCGTCCGACCACGCGGCCAAGCTCGTCGAGCGGTTGCTGGCCCTCGACGCGCGGCGCGCCGAACGCCTCGGCGCCTCCGGGTCCCCGGGGAAGCCGCCGCGGCGCGGCGCGGCGCTCGGCGCCGGCGACGCGCGCGACGGCGGCGCCGTCCTCGCGAGCCTCGGCGCGGCCTACGCGACGTGCGCGCGCGCGCGGCCCGAGAGCCGCGCGCAGTTCCTCCGCGGCGCGCTCCGCGCCGTCGACGTCGGCGCGGAGCCTGGCGCGCCCGCGGCGTCGCGGCTCCGCGCCGCGGCGCTGGGCGCGCGGCTCCTCGCGACGCTGCCCTACCGCGTCGCCGACGAGCCCCTCTCCGTCGTCTACGCGCTCTCCAAGCAGGTCGCGCTCGCGGCGCCCGACAGCGAGCGGTTGGCCGCGTGCGCGACGCTCTCGCTCGCCGCGCGCGCGAAGCGCCACCTCAAGCGCTTCTACCGCCTCGGCGACGCCCGCTGCGTCGAGTACGTGCCCGGCGACCGCAAGCTCCACGACAAGGGCCTGCCGCAGCGCGGCGCGGCGCCGGACCTCGACGTCCCGCGCCACTTTCTCTCTGAAGACGCGGACGCCGCCGCGTTCCTCGACGACGCCGCGCGGACGCTCGCGAGCGAGCCGTCCCACGACTTCGAAAACAAGCCGGAGAAGGCGCCGGCGAAGAAGCGCGGCCGGCCGCCCAAGGCGGACGACGCCGCGATGCCGCCGCCGCCCGCGCGCCGGTCCAAGCGCGCGACGCGGCCGACCGCGCCGCTCCTCGACCACCAGGCGAGCCCGCCGGACGACGACGACGACGACGGCGACTGGCGCGCGGCCAAGCCCAAGAAGAAGCGCAAGGCGTAATCATTACAAGGGGTACTCGATCCGCCGCGCGTAGGCGGCGAAGGCGCCGTCGGCCTGGTAGAGCGCGTGGCGGCCGCCCGCGACGACCGCGGCGTTCGCCGCGAGCCACGCGGGGAAGACCGCCTCCGCGAAGTACGCGTCGCCCGCGTCGTCCCCGCCGTCGCCGCACGCGGCCGCGAGCACGTCGAGCGCCGGCGCGCCGTCGAAGGCCTCCGGCAGGCCCGTCGCCGCGAGGGCCGCGAAGAGGTCGCCGCCGCCGCCCTCCGCGAAGGCGAGCGCCTCGACGACGAGCGCCCAGGCCCGCGCCGTCGGCTCCGCGCCGAACTCGAGGAGCTCCTCCGCGACGTCGCGCGCCGCGGCGCCGCGCGCGCGGCAGCAGAGCTCGACGGGTGTCCAGCCCCGGCCGTTGGACGGCGTCTCGCACTTGAGCAGCGCGGGGTCGCCCGTGATCATGTCGAGCAGCGCGTCGGTGCAGGAGCCGCCGTCGATGGACGCGAAGAGCTCCTCGCCGAAGCGATGCCTCAAGTCGGCGGCGAGCGCGGCCGCGTCGTCGGCCGTCGCGGCCGCCGCCGCCTCCCGGAGGGCCCGGACGGCCTCGTCGCGCGCGCGGCGCGCCTCCTCGTCGTCGTCGTCGTCGTCGTCGTCGTCCGCTTCCTCTTGCTCGTCGTCGTCGTTCTCCTCCTCCTCGACATCGTCGTCCTCCTCCTCGCCGTCATCTAGCTTCTGCCGCTTGCATCGCGAATCATTTGTGTCGCCCATTGCGAGGCTGCCCCGATTGAACGACGTCAACTTGACTTCAATCGTTCTTGTTCCTACACGAGCCTCCCTCCCCTCCCCGGACGGGCGCCAGTCGAGCGCGCGTCCCTGTCAATAACTAGTTCAATCGCCGGGCCTTATGCGTCGGAGCCGTTGGCGCGGTCGGGCGCGGGGTTCAGGGTATTCCAGAAGTCGAGGGAGAAGGTCGTCGTGCTCTGGTTGAACATGAAAAGCCGGCCGATGAGGTACTGGACGACGCAGACGCGGAAGAGGGCGCAGAAGTGGAAGTCGAAGAGCGCGCGGCCGACGGCGACGGCGATTTCCGCGCGTCGGTGCTTGGCCCGGTCGTAGGACTCGGCGACGATGAACGCGACGGAGTGGATGTTGACGACGATCGCGGCGAGCGCCACGTAGAGCATCCAGTTGTAGAGGTGGGTGAGCTGCGGGTGCTTCTTGCCGAGGGGCGAGTCGTCGTCGATGGTGACGAAGTCGCCGTTGGTCGTGTAGCGCTGCATCTTGAAGGAGATGAGGAAGGTCGCCGAGCCGACGGCGAGCGTGCACGCCGTCGGGATGGCGAAGTAGGCCCCGCGGACGCGGGCGCCGGCGCCGCGGACGTGGGCCGCGGCGGCCGCGAGCGTCGCCCGGACCCGCGCGCCGCGCTCGGAGGCCTCCGCGCGGTGCCGCTCCGAGAGGTCGAGGCCGAAGAGGTTCGAGCTCGGCCCGTCGTAGGTGATGACGTCGTCGACCTCGAGGACGAAGCCGAGCGCGAGCGAGTTGAGCAGGAGGTCGAGGGGCCCGTCCGTCGTGCCGAAGAGCTGGGCCTGGATGTCCAAATAATACCAGAAGAGCGTCACGCGGAGGAGGTGGACGAGGAAGCACATTGCGAGGCGGAACGCGACGTCGCCACTGAGTTCGCTCCGGTCGACGAGGCACGCGTGGGCCCGCTCGGCGAGGAGCAGGAAGCCCGCCTTGACGCTGTCGAGCTCCGGCACCGTCGCGAGCGTCGCGCAGAAGCAGCAGAAGACCTGGGCGGCACAAGGGTGATTCAACGTCGCTTCAACGTGAGTGTTCCGCGCGCGCGCGTTCCGGAAAAAGCATCTACGCTTCGAGACCGTTCCGAGAGATGATCGCTCGTCCAAAAATCAGCCGAAACGAGTGGAAAACGGCCGAGATAGGAGCCTTTGAAGTTGGGAATGTCGCACCCTTTTGCTGCCCTGCAGAAGACGAGCACGAAGAGGACGACCCAGTTCACGCCGTCGACGCCGACGCCGCCGTTGTGGTTGTGCCTCGAGAAGAGGGACTGGTAGTCCACGGGGAAGGGCATGCCGCCCTGGAAGGCGGGGTAGCCGTCGTCGAAGGCGTCGTCGCCCGCGACGCGGCGCTGGAAGTCCATGGGGAAGAAGATGGTCTGCCAGACCGCCTGCAGCGCGACGAGCTGCAGCATCTTCACCGCGACGCACGCGCCCAGGTGGAGGAGCAGCGTCGGCGACGTCGCGTCGTAGAGCAGCATGGTCTGGACGCGGAACGTGTACCCGTGGCCCAGGGGCGCCGCGTCGCCGCCGCCGGCCGCGTCGGCCGGCGCCGCCTTCGCCTCGAGCCGCGCCTCGACCGCGGCGAGCCGCGCCTCGAGCGCCGCCTCCGACGCCTCGCGACGCGGGCCCGCCGCCGAGGGCGAGATGTCCGCGTACGCGCCGACGTCGTCGCCGCCGCCGTCGTACACCGCGAGCAGCGCCGGCGGCGCCGACGGAGAACGACGATGGTGGTGGTGGTGCAGGACCTGATGATAATGATGATGGCGATGGTCCTGGTGGCTATGGACCGGTGGCTCCGCAGCCTCCGGATGCAGCGCGCAGCACGCCTCCATCGGATGCAGCCCAACAGTGGATTTGGGTTCTCATCTCTCCTCAATTAAGTTTGGTTGAAGTCCAAGTTGAATCTGTTCACCGCACGGGCCAGCATACTATCCCGCCCCGGGCGCGAAGGGTCCGACGTTACGAGCGGCGCGCGCGGCCGCCGGCACTCATCGCTTGCCGCCCTTGCCCTTGGACTTCTTCTTCTTCCCGTCCGCGCCGCCGCCGGCCTGGGCCTTGGCCTTGTCGCCGCCCTTGGCGTCCTTGGTCTTCTTCTTCTTCGACTTGGACTTGGACTTGGAGCTCGGGATCGACGCGAGCCACGGCACCTGCGCGCGTCCGCGCGTCGCGCGCCGCGCGCGGAGCGCGGTCCCGCGCCGCGCGCGCGCGGGGTGCCGGTTGAACATGGGCCAGTCGGGCACGCAGAGGAGCATGGCGATGACGAGGCCGACGGCCCAGCCGCCGAAGGTGACCGTGAAGTCCTGCGCGAAGTACCCGAAGAACCACGCGATGACCTACTCGGAGCGCGGTTCCGGCCGCGGCCGCCAACGACTGCTCCCGCGGCGATATGTCGGAGGGCGCCGCCGCGCGCCCCGAAGATGACGATGAGGTAGCAGTAGATCATCTCCGCGAGCTTCTGCCCATGGTAGTCCTGCGCCGGGCCGGGTCGTCGCGGCGCCGGCGGCGGTCGGCGGCGGCGCGCGCGCGCGGCACAGCGCGCGCCTTCGCGGCGCGACGGCCAACCGCGCGAAATGGGCGCGGGCACGCACCATGGCTCGTCGGCCGCGCGCGCAGGTCGCCGCGGCAGAGGCGACGCTGCAAAGACGGCGAGGCAGAGGCGGGAGGCAAAGTGCAAGTTCGGATTATTGAAGCCGCCGGCCGACTGCATCGATGGCTGCAACGCGCGCCGCCGCGGCCCTCCACCCCCTGCCACCCGCAGCCGACACCGACCGCCGCGTCTAAAGCTACAGGAGGTCCCGGGGCGCGCGGTTCGGGGGGAAGTAGTCGCGCCGGAGCTCCGCGTTGGAGATGAGGCGGACGAGCTTCGCGTGCCGGCCGACGGCGGGCTTGATGGCGCTCCAGGCGCTCTCGAAGAGCACCGTGGGCGGGTCGACGAGGGCGACCTGGCCGAGGCGCTTCGGGTAGTAGGACCGCAACGCGTGGACGAGCCAGAGCACGAAGGGGATGTCGACCTGTGTGCAAATCAACCAGTGAGCTGGGACGTCGGGGCCAAACTTGAGAATTCTCTAGCTCGGTCAAATCGAAGTCGATTCGGCTGATTTTTGGACGAATCGATCGCTCTCGTCGAGTTCTCGAAGCCCAGCCGAAGAGTTTGTGTCAAAACATTCGCATACGCGCACATTGAAGTCGGGTTGAAGATTTGATTTGCACACGGATGTCGACCTGGGGCGGGCCGACGTCGCGCAGGTCGACGACGGCGAGGAACTGCTCGCCGTCGCCCTCGAGGCTCGCGACGGCGTCCTCGAGGACGGCGAGGCACAGCGCCTTGGACGCGTCGAGCGACCGCCGCGTCGCGTCGTGGCGCCGCGCGACGACGACGACGGCCGGCCGCCCGAGCACGTCGCGCTCGCGCGCGAGGTAGCCCACGCGCTTCCGCCGCTCGCTCCTCGCCGCGTCCAGGAGCGCCGCCCGGTCGCCCCCGAGGCCCCCGAAGTTCCTCCGCCACGCGACGTACGCCGCGGCTTTGGGAGCGGCCTCGGCCACGTCGCCGCGGCGGTCCCGCGCGAACCAGGCGAGCTCGGCGTCGCTGAGCGACGGCGCCGCCGACCGGAGCGCGGCGACGGCGCGGCGCTCCTCGTCGGCGCCGAGCTCCGGCGCGCGCGTCGTGCCCAGCTTGTCCTCGACGGACAGCGTCGTCGCGCGTAAAGGTTGGTCGCGGAGCGGCCGGGCGCCGGTGGTCCGCTGCCAACAATGCGCGGGATGGCGGCGCGCCAGCCAGGCGTCGGCGCTGCGGCAGAGGAGGAGGGCAAGAACGACGCGCATTCGAGCCATCGATCGGTGCTCACGGCTGTTTTTATTGACTTTTGGGGCGCTTGTTGTGGCAAATAATGAGTATGGTGAATGGAAAGCCCAGACGTGCCGCGTAGGAACGCGCCGCCGCCGTGAACAGGCCATGCCGCCGGCGCGCAAGTCGAAGGACAAGGAGTACGCGTCCGCGCGGCGCCGCCGGAGCGAGCAGGAGGCGGCGGCGCGGGCGCCGGCCGAGGACCGGGACGCGGCGCGCGAGGCCGCGGCGGCGCGGCGGTCCGCCGCGCTCGCGCTCGCCGCGGAGCGCTGCGGCGAGACCGTGCCCGGCCGCGAGACCGCGCCCAGCCGCGCGCTCGTCGCGCCGCAGAACGCCGTCGCGCGCGCGCCCAAGGCGAAGCCGAAGCGGTCGGACGCGGACGCCGCGAGGGACCGGGACGCCGCGCTCTTCGCGCTCGACGCCAAGGGGTCGACGGCGCTCCACCGCTTCGCGACGCGCGCGTCCGCGGCGGCCGACGTCGCGCGGCTTCTGGCGATGGACGCGCGGAAGCTCGACGTCAGAGATGCCCACGGCGACACGGCCGTCCACGCCCGCGTGGAACTCAAATCTTCAACCCGACTTCAATGTGCGCGCAATCGAACGGTTTGGACCAGACTCTTCGGCCGTGCTTCGAGAACTCGACGAGAGCAATCGATTCGTCTACAAATCAGCCGAATCGACGTCGATTCGACCGAGCTCGAGAAAGTTTGGTCGGGACGTGCCGAACCGGTGGTTGATTTCCACACAGGTCCACGCGGCGGCGGCGACGGACGCCGTGCCCTGCCTGCGCCTCCTGCTCGACGCCGGCGCCGACGCGACGGCGCGGAACGCCCAGGGCTTCGCGCCGCTGGCGCTCGCGGCGTCGCGGTCCGCGTCGCGCGCGGCCGTCGTCCTGGCGCTCGAGCTCGAGGCCCGGGGCCTCGTCGCGGCGGGCGCGCTCGACGCGCCCGGCGGCGGCTACGCGCCCCTGCACTGGGCCTGCGTCAACGACCTGCCGGACGCCGCGGCGACGCTCGCGGCGCGCGGCGCGGACGCGGGCGCGCGGTCGCACCCGGACGGCGAGACGCCGCTCATCAAGGCCTGCCGCTACGGCCACGGCGCCTGCGCGCTCGCGCTCCTCGAGCACGCGCCGGGCCTCGACTTGGACGCCGCGGGCGCCGACGGCGCGACGGCGCTGGTCCACGCCGCGCGGTTCGGGTGTTGCGAATCCGTCGACGCGCTCGTCGGCCGAGGCGCGGACGTCCGCGCGGCCGACGGCGACGGCCGCACGGCGCTGGGCTACGCGACGCGCGGGGGGCACCTGCGCTGCGCCCACGCCCTCGCCATGGCCGGCGCGCTGCGCGCGCCGCCGCCGCCCGCGCCCGCGGCCGCCGTCGCGGACCACTGGAGCGGCGACCGCGCGGCGCCGGCCGGCGGCACCGTCGTCGACCGCTTCTTCTACAAGCTGTCCTTCCCCATGGCGCGCCCCGACGCGGCCCCGCCGCCGGCGCCGCCGCGGCCGCCGCGCGCGGACCTCGATTAAGCCCGTGTTGAAGGGCACGGCATCGATATATCTTCGACAATTCAGACGCGGGCCACCGAATCGAGGGCAGCCCCGGCTGTGCGGCCGACAAGAGCGTGCTAGTTACGCTTCGGGGGCCAAAGGGGCGGGGGTCTCGCGGACCATGCCGTCGTACACGATCCGCGCGACGGACAAGGAGACCGGCGAGGTGGCGCGCCGGCGCCTCCCGGACGCGCCGACGGCCCCGGACACCATCGTCCGTCGAAGGAAGGTCGGGCCCGCCGCAGGTGCGATTGATGAAGGTCCAGGCGGGGACGCCCATGACGGAGGTCATCAAACAGTACGCGGAGCTGAGCGGCATCGACGAGGCCGAGTGCCGCTTCCTCGTCGGAGGCAAGCCCCTGAAAACCGACAAACCGCGCGCCGCCGCGCCCCGGGCCGCGCCCCCCCTCGGGGCACCCCCCCCGCCCCCCCCCGCCCCGCCGGGGCGCCGTCCGAGCGGCGCGCGGCCGCCGACCCCGTCTCCCCCCCCGCGCAGGCTCGACGAGCAGGTCGCGCTGACCAACAGAGACCAGCCGCCCGTCGTCGACGACGACGACGGCTTCGACTGCAGCCCCGGCCGGCGTCCGCGAGGCGCGCGCGGGGGGGGGGACGCGGGGCGCGGCCGGCGCGTCGACGGCTTCGTTCGTCGCAGGTTCGTGTTCGTGCATGCCGAACATGAACTAGCGCGCGCGCCGGGCCGCGCCGGGCGCGCCCGGAGCCGGCGGCGCCGCGAAGCTCCCGAGGGCGCGCGCGCCAGGGCCCGCGAGGCCACGTCGGCGAGGAGGGCGGGGCCGCGAGCGCGCTTTGGAGAGCTCGTAATTTCTCGACGTCAACATGAGCACATGAAGTGCAAGCCGAGTGCACGGTGGGCACCGCTGCTTCGGAGAATAGCCTGCCCGCAGGTGCGGCAAGAATCACCACTCGCTCGCGCGCGGCCGCACTGGGCCGTGCGCAGTCTCCGGCACTCGGCAGCATCTCCCCCATGGCGGCGATGACGCAGCAGGCGTCGTACACGCTGCGCCACGCCGTCGCGTCGAGCATCGTCGTCACGGTGCGGCCCCTCGGCGCGACGCTGTCGAGCGTCCTCGCGCCGGACCGGAACGGCGCCCTCGGCGAGGTGACCCTGGGCTTCGACGAGGGCGAGGGCGACGCGCCCTACCTCGACGGGCGGAGCGCCTATTTCGGGTGCGTCGCCGGCCGCGTCGCGAACCGCACGAAGGGCGCGGCCTTCGAGCTCGACGGCGCGACGTATACGCTCGCGGCGAACGACGGCGCGAACCACCTCCACGGCGGAACCGTCGGCTTCGACAAGCGGCGCTGGACCGTGGTCGACGCGAGTGCGACGGCGCTGACGCTCGCGCTGCGGAGCGGCGACGGCGACGAGGGCTACCCGGGAACGCTCGACGCCCGAGTGACCTACAGCCTCCCCGACCCGAGGACGCTGCGCGTGGCCTACGCCGCGACGACGGACAAGGCGACGCCCGTGAACCTGACGAACCACGCCTACTGGAACCTCAACGACGGCGGCGCGTCGCCCGTCGTCGACCACGAGCTCCAGGTCGACGCGTCGTTCTACACGCCCGTCGGCGAGGGCGCGATCCCGACGGGCGAGATCCGGCGGGCCGCGGGGGCCATGGACCTCTCCGCCGGCCGCCGCCTCGGCGACGCGCTCTACGACACCGACGGGGGCGCCGGCTACGACCACAACTACGCGCGGCCCCGCGCCGGGGAATCTTTCCCCGCCGCGACGGCCCGCGACCGCGTTCCCCCCGCGACCGCAGGCGCTCGGCGGCGCCGTCGCGCCCGGCGGCCTCCGGCGCGCCGCGGCGCTCTACGCGCCGGCGAGCGGCCGCGCCATGGTCGTGTCCACGGACCAGCCGGGCGTCCAGGTCTACACGGGCAACTTCCTCGACGGCGTCGCCGGCCGCGGCGGGACGCGCTACGGGCGCCACGCGGGCCTCTGCCTCGAGACCCAGCTCTTCCCCGACGCGCTCCACAACGCGCACTTCCCCTCCGCCGTGCTCCGCCCGGGATCGACCTACGCGCACGCGACGGAGCACGTCTTCTCCGCGGCCGCGGCGCGGCCCGCGCTCTGAGGTCCCGGCGCACAAGTGTACTATGCTTGCAACGGGCAGTCTCAGCGGGCTCGGTGGGAACTCGGAGCCGCTGGATTCGGGTACTTATTCGGGTTACGTGTTACGTTGCAAGCAAGTTCAAAGTTTGCAACTTGAACTCAGCTTTTTAAGCTTCAACATATAGGAAATGAGCCGTAGTGATTATAATTGCCCAACGTATATATCATAAACGATGCGAGCCATTCGTTTAAAGGTCTGCATCTCCTTCAATATAAGCTGTGCGCTCCGAGCCATCAATATCCCAAAATTCATCATAGATTGTGAAGTTTATTCCGTCAAGGGTTAGTTTTGCATATGAATTTGTGTCAGAGCTCTCGGTCGATAAATCTGGGTTCGCGTTCCCTTCAATAAATTGGTCAACTCTGCCATGCAGATTATATTAGTGCGTTGTCCAACGCAGCTGCGTGCCCGATTTTCCGAAGCAGGCAGCCTCGATCTTCAGGCATTCCGACCGCCTTCGACGTCGATTTCTGCGGGCAGCATGCTTCAAACTCTCGATCTCATGGCGCGTGCCGCGCTCGCCCTGCTGCTCGCGCTCCCCGTCTCCTCCGGCTTCCAGTTCGACCGTCTCGACCCCGAGGTGGTCGCGACCCTGCAGCACGAAGACCTCTCCACGGCCTGGGGCAGCGACATCGGCCCGAATGCGACCTGGTTCGCGGCGCACGTCGCGCGGCGCGAGGTCTTCCTCGCGCGCGGCGGCGGCGCCTACGCGCCGGACGAGCTCGCCACGCTGCGGAGCGCGCTGCTGGCGCCCTTCGTGAGCGACGGCGCCGCGCCGCGCACCGCGGTCAAGGGCGACGGCGGCGGCGAGCCGTTCGGCGGCGACGCCGCGGCCGCCGCGCTGCTCGCGGGCCTGGGCGCGCCGGAGCCGGTGGCGTCCGACGCGCGCGAGGAGCGCATGTCCGTCGTCGCGCGCCTCGAGTACCTCTTCGGCGTCGACGCGTCGGAGCGCGCGGCGACGGCCGCCGTCGAACGCCTCTTCCCCAAGCCCGTCTTCGACCTCGACCGCGGCGACACGGCCCACGTCTACGTGTCCGCGCCCGGCGCCGCGGCGCTGGCGAACCACACGGACCTCAACGACGTCGTCGTCTTCCAGATCGCCGGGGCCAAGGCCTGGCACGTCTGCACGCCGGCTCCGGCCGGCGTCGAAGCCGCGCGGGGCCCGACGTCGACGGCGCCCGAGCCCGGTCGCGTCGACGTCGCTCCGGCCGATGATCGGACGAAGCGTCCGTCGCTCGTCGAGCTCGCGGCGGCGCTCGCGCGCGCCGCGCGATCCGCGCGACGCCGGAGCATTTGAACGCCGCGCAGGTGCACGCCGTCGCCAAGCACGGCACGTGCGCGACGTACGACGCGAGCGAGATGTCGGGCCTCGAGGTCTGCGACGACTTCGAGCTCGGGCCCGGCGACCTGCTCTTCCTGCCCCAGGGCGCCGTGCACAGCGCGCGCGCGACGGAGGCGGAGGGCTCGACGCACCTCACGCTCGGCCTCGCCGGCACGCGGGCCGCGGTCTGCGACGAGCAGGCGCCGGCCGGCGATCTCATGGCCGAGTTCCGGCGCCAGCTCGACGAGGGCGACCTCGGCCTCTGCGACATCAGCAGCACCGGCTGCCCGCCCAACACGTACAGCAGCAGCGGCTACTACGCGGGCAAGGACTGCCAGGACTGGCCCTACCTGTGCGGCGGCAGCTGCGACAACGGCTGCGACGATTCCCACAGCGGCTGCGACGACGAATGCGACAGCTGCTGCACGTGCACGAACTGCGAGGACTGCCCCGGCGGCCGCTACAGCTCCGGGTCCGCGACGGGCTGCGCGGCGTGCCCGCAGGGCACCTACACCTTCGGCGGCGAGGACTGCACGTCCTGCCCCGCGGGCTACTACGGCGCCTCGTCGGGCCTCGACGCGAACGCCGGGGCCTTCGTCGCCCTGGGCGCGGGCCGCGTCTGCGCCGACTGGACGGAGTTCGCCGCCTACTGCCCGAGCGACGCGGGCGCCTGCCGCCCGGAGGGCTACGTCTGGGGCGGCGGCTACGTGGCCACGGGCATCTTCACGAGGGTCGCGGGCTACTGGGAGAGCTGGAGCTCCTTCGAGCGCTACTGCCCGGACGTGTCCGGGGGCTGCGGCTACGGCTACGACACGGACAACGCGCTCGGCCTCCCGGCGTCCGTGAGCCTCGAGGGCTGCCAGGACCAGTGCATGGAGGCCGGCTGCGACGCCATCTACTGGTCCCAGGGCCACGGCTGCGGCAACTACTTCGGCGGCCACCTCCAGGGCGACGACGACAGCGCCGGCCAGGTCGAGTACTACGAGTTCTCCACGACGGACGCGGGCGACAGCCTCGAGGCCTGCCAGGACCTCTGCACGAGCGAGCAGTGCGACGGCATCTACTTCGACGCCGACGACTCCACGGGCTACGGCTGCGGCCTTTATTTTGGCTGCGCGCCGTCGAACGGGAACGCGCAGGGCATGGACTACTACTACTGGAGCCACGGCTGCAGCGAGTGCGCCAGCGGGCGCTACTCGAGCGTCGACGGGGCGACGGGCTGCAAGAGCTGCCCGTCGGGCACGTACGCCGAGGCCGGCCGCTCGACGTGCACGACGTGCGCCGCGGGCAGCTACGCCGGGAGCGGCGCGTCCAACTGCACGGCGTGCCCCACGGGCTACGTCTCCACGGGCGAGACGGGCGCCATCTCCCTCGAGACGGCCTGCACGCTCTGCGAGGCGGGCACGTACGACGCCGGCACCGAGTGCGTCACGTGCCCCGCGGGCACCTACAGCGGCGACGCCGCGACTGAGTGCACGGACTGCCCCGCGGGCCGCTACTCGGGCCACGACGGCGCGACGGGGTGCGCGGCGTGCCCCGGCGGCACGTACCAGGACGCGGCCGGCGCGACGGACTGCGTCGACTGCGCCGCCGACAACGACGACGGCGAGCCGGGCCACTACTCCACCTACTCCGACGGGGCCGCGTCGCAGGGCGAGTGCGTCTGCGAGACCGGCTGGGCGGGCGAGCTGTGCACCGTGACCTCGTGCTCGACCGTCGCGACGATCTCGCTCGGCCACATGCTCCTCATGGCGAACCCGCTGACGCGCGCGTACATCGGCACGACGGCGGCCGTCGACGACACGGTCACGGTGACGAACGACGTCCGCTCCGCGCTCCAGGAGTGGGACCTCGACAGCAACAACATCCTGACCTACGCCGAGGTCACGGCCTGCCTCGCGACGTACCACGTCAACGTGACGAACCTCGACGACACGAACAACTACGTCTGGTCCGTCCCCGTGCCCGAGCCCATCGTCGCGTCGACGGACGACTGCGATACCGCGGACTCGCTCTACACCGTCTCCATCGTGCAGGCCACGGGCGCCATCTCGGACACGGACGACTTCAAGATCCGCGCGTTCGGCAACAACGACGTCAAGCTGAGCTACAGCTGCGAGGTCTGGGACGACGACACGGGCACGGCGTCCGCGACGTTCCCGACGTCCTACGGCCTCCGCAAGATCTTCTTCCTGGTCAAGTCCGACGACGTCGACGACGCGGCGATCACGATCACCGTGTCGCAGCCCAGCGGCATGTCGAGCACCTGGGACGCGACGCTCTCGCAGGACGACAACGACGACTACTTCTCGTACACGATCGAGACGGATCAGAAGGAGTACTACACGAACGACGACGACGACTCGACGGTCCTGATCACGTCCATGGTCACGAGCGCGATGGCGTCGCTCCAGATGTCCCAGACCTACTACTGGGGCGGGAGCACCTTCATCGACTCCTACGCGGCGTCGTTCCCGTCGACGTCCGACTCGTCGGACGTCTGCGGCGCGAGCCTCGACACGCCCGTCGACGTCACGTGGGCCTACACGGAGGACGCGTACCCGGACCCGGACGACGACGCGGGCTCGATCGTCTACCGCCAGTGCGGCTACCTCAACGGCATCGAGATGGACGACGACTCCTTCCCCTCCGACTACGTCGACGCGTCCACCGGCCGGTCCTACACGATCTCCGACGGCCTGAGCATCGCGCAGATCGACACGAAGCGCATCTACTGCATCTACACGGAGTACGACGGGGACGGCGACGACGACGCGGACGCCGCGCTCACGTCCATCATCTGCATGGTCGGCCTCCGCGTCCTCGGCGCGCCCCTCGACATCCTGCCGGACATGGGCAACGGCGCCGCGGGCTTCAACGGCGTCACGCTGACGTGGCTCGACACGTACAACAGCGAGGGCGAGTTCAACGTCTACCGCCGGTCCCAGGGCACGTCGGCGAGCTCGAACACCCAGGTCGCGGACGTGCTCGTGCCGAGCTCCAAGTGCGGCGCCACGGTCGCGCCCCTCACGTTCACGGACACGAAGACCGGCTACACGCCCGGTGCCCGCGTCGTCTACACCGTCGTCGCGAACCCGAACTGGGCCGACCAAGACACGGACATGACCAATTTCACGGGCACGACGGTCTACACCGTGCCCTGGCTCAGCCTCTTCACGGTGAGCGTCGTGACGTCCAGCGGCGCGGGCACGCCCGTGCCCGACGTCTACGTGAGCGTGTCCCACATGCTCGACAGCACGACGATGGACCCGAGCTACGACCCCGTCGTCTACGGCTACACGGACGTGAACGGCGACTACAGCCCGCTCATCCGCATCGTCGACGAGACGTGGAGCGCGTCGAAGCAGTACTTCAACGTGACCTGCAGCCTCGTCGACCCCGTGCTCGGGCCCCACGTCTTCAACCCGTCCTGGCAGGCCGTGACCTCGACGCACGTCTACGGCGGCAATGCCAACATCAAGGACGAGACGTCCGTCTCGGTCCGCGGCTACCTCCGGTCGGGGGGCGGCACGGACAGCTCGAACCCGGACCGGAACTTCGACAAGTACTGGGGCGACTGCGGCGACCAGATCCTCCCCTCCTGGGAGCCCGAGGCCACGGCGGGCCAGTGCTACTGCGCGCTCCCGTCGGGCCAGACGATCTACATGCTACGCGAGAGCGGGTCGACGGACTCGTACTCGACGGACGACCTCGGCTACTTTGAGTTCGCGCCGATGATCGGCGAGCTCGTCACCGTGTACTTTGAAGGCTACGCCGGGAGCGACAACAACACCGCCATCGACTTCAAGGTCTCGACCGACGTCGACGACGACGACGCGGTCGTCCAGACCAAGGTCGCGGCCCCGTCGATCACCTTCACGACGGACGGCGACGCGAACGTGGACTTCGTCACGAGCACGTGGATGTACATCACCATCTCGCTCCTCGGCGGCGCGGCGGGCCAGGAGTTCATCACGGGCCAGGGCTTCTCCGTCACGGCGGACAGCTGCGGCTTCGAGAAGGAGCTCGTCACCTACATGGGACTCGACACGGTCAAGGTCTTCCCGCTCGAATCCTACACCGTGACCATGTACGAGAGCGAAGACCTCGACGGCGAGACGCTCGAGAATTGCGAGGACTACTCCTACGACGACATCGTATCGAACGACGACGATTCCGTCGACGTCAACCCCTGCCGCGTGCCCATCCCGGGCTTCTCGGGCAGCGACCGCCTCCCCTGCGCCGTCTCCGAAGCGGGCTCGAGCAACAACCGCATCGACCAGTGGTTCAATGACCTCTACCTCAACGAGCTGACGGGCGTCGACATGTCCAACGGCGACGTGCAGGAGAACTTCACGTACACGGCGCCGATCTGCCTGAGCTTCGTGGAGCTGCTGCCGCTCGTCAGCGGCGAGCTCACGCCGATCGAGTACGAGAGCACCGACGACGAGCGCGACGCCACGACCGAGCCGTACAACAACTGCGGGTCGACCGGGGCCTGCTTCTCCGAGTACCCGGACTACAACGAGCTCCTCCTCCTCGACGCGCCGGCCGCGACCATCTCCGACGACAACGAATACGGCGGCCCCACGTGCATCAACTCGACGTCGATCTTCGTCAAGGAAGAGGACAACCTCGTGCTGAGCTTCAAGCTCGTCGAGCGCTACCCCGGCGCCGTCTGCGCCTGGCCCTGGCAGTACAGCGAGTACGCGTCCGTCGACGGCGACGACGACGATTACCAGAACACCTGCGGGAGCGACGGCGCGCCCGTCTCGCTCACGGACGACAACGTCTACGTCGAGGCCGCGCCGACGAACGGCGACGGGTTTGACATCGACATCACCCTCAACGACCGCATTTCGGGCCTGACGACGACGATCAGCGACGAGTACGACCTGACGGTCGACTACACGTCGATGTACGACGGCTTCGGCTACGTCTACGAGCTGACGCCCGCCGCGCTCAACGTCTTCTCGCCCTACACGCTGCAATTCAGCCTGGCGTTCTCCCGCGAGTTCGACGGCTCGGAGGTCGACTTCGACCGCGTCATGGCCGTCCTGGGCACGGCGCCGGACAACGTGCCGCGGCTCTACGCGGCGACGACGGACCCGACGCTCATCTTCGCCGTGATCCGCGATCCGCCGGGCGGCACGTCGTCGGTGAGCATGGAGGAGGGGTCGACCCTGGGCGTGTCCATGTCCATCGCCGGCTTGCACGCGGGCGCCTACGGCTACGCGGAGGAACTCTCGGCCAAGATGGGTATCAACACGGAAGAAAAAATAATGATCGCGCCGCTGGGCATCGGCACCAGTACGACTGGTGATAAGATTGAATTGAAGGCCGGCATCAAGGGAGAGCAGGACTCGACGGTGACGACGGTGACGCGCGAGAACACCAAGTCCTTCGAGTTCGAGTTCGAGTTCACGACGGGCATCTCGACGAGCGGAGACCCCTTCGAGGCGGGCCAGCCGTCGGACCTCATCGTCGGCGGCGGCGCGAACCTGCGCATCCTCTCCGCGACCCAGGTCTACGCCTACCTGTCCGACAAGAGCGAGGCGGCGACCGCGTACAACGACGACCCGACCGAGGGGCCCCAGTACTGCGTCGTCACGCAGAACACCTACGAGTGGTTCCCGGAGACGGTGACGACCTACGTCCTCAGCGCGAGCCAGATCGAGCAGCAGATGACGCGCCTCGCCAAGCAGAAGACCGACGCGGACTGCTCGGATTCCACGAGCTGGTACGCGAGCGGCAACCCGTCCGAGGACTGCGACTACGTCGCCGAGTACGCGAGCAACGACGACACGGCCCAAAGCCGCTGCCAGCTCACCGACGACACCGGCGTCAACGCGTCGTCGGCCTGTCCCATCGCCTGCGACACGTGCCCGTCGACGTCGCTCAGCGCCGCCGAGCTCGAGGAGATCCAGCAGGCCATCGACAACTGGCAGACGGTCCTCAAGAACTACCGCGCCACGAGCGATCGCGACGAGGTCGCGACGCTCCAGACCCACATCAACTCGATCCTCTCGAGCATCTCGTCGACCTTCACGACGTTCCTCAGCGACTCGGACACGACGAGCACGTTCACCGACTTCCTCAACACGGGGCAGCTCTACCTCGAGTCCGTGCGCGTCGTCGGCGGCATCACTCCCCTGTATTCGTACGTGCAGATGCTCACGCAGGCGGAGTACCTCGGCGCCGTCCTCATCGACACGAAGGCGAACTGCGAGAGCGGCTCGCTCTACGGCGACGAGACGTGCGACGTCTACAGCAAGATGCAGTCGAGCCTCGAGATGGTCAATAACCTCCTGGGCATCTGCGACGACTTCGACATGGTCACCCTGCCGTCCTTCACGGCGTTCTGCTCCGTCCCCGAGAACAACGGCGACGACCTGCTGCCCAACTACATGCTCGACACCGTCGGCGACGGCACGCGCTACATCACCTTCGGGGCCGGCGCCGAGATCGAGATGGAATACGCGTTCACGCAGACGTCGACGCTGGAGCAGGTCGTCGGCTACGCCGCGGAGGCCGAGTTCTCGGCGTCGCTCTTCGCGGAGAGCAAACTGAACATCGTCGGCGCCGAGACGGAGGAGGAGATGGCGCTCACCACCAAGGGCTCCGTCGCCGTCGAGCTCGGGCGGTCCGGGGAGAAGAGCCAGGCGCGGAGCCACGCGGTGTCGATCTCGCTCGGCGACGAGGAGACCGGCGACGTCTTCGCCGTCAAGATCGAGACGGACACGGTCTACGGCACGCCCATCTTTACGACCATCGGGGGCGAGTCGACGTGCCCGGGCGAGACCGCGACGACGCGCCGCGCCGAGGAGGTCACGATCTTCGACATCATCCCCCACTGCCAGCGCGGCGCCGGCGCCCGCGCGCCCCCCGCCGCGGCCGCGCGTCACGGGACCCGCGCAGGTACGGCTTCGAGGTCCAGGAGGGCGCCACGTCCTGCGAAGGCCAGGTGCCGGGCGACGCGATCTACTTCGGGATCATCCTGCAGAACACGATGGAAATCGACCAAGTTACCGCCGACTACCCGGTCAATTTCAACCTCCAGGTCGACCAGGTCTACGCGCCCTGGAACGCGGGCAAGGACTACTACGACGCCGACAACGACGGTTGCGGGTCCGACGGCTACCACCTCGGCCTCGACATCACCGTGATGGACGGGTCCGGGCGCGGCGCGGGCGACCTCGCGCAGTTCGCGAACGGCATCGAGTTCGGCCAGTGGGAGTACATCCTCAAGATCGAGCACGGGCCCGACACGGCCTGCGACGACTATACGGGCATCACGATCTCCATCTACACGTCGTGCGCCGCCGACAGCTGCACGCAGTACCAGGAGCAGCTCAACGACGACGGCAGCATCACGGTCCTGCACCCGGTCTGGCACAACTCGACGTACTGCGACGGCTCCGACGACGAGGACTGCGAGAACAACGCCTGGGACGAGGACTACGAACCCTTCGGGTGCTACTACTCGCCGTCGTTCTCCATCCCCAACTTTGGCTGGGACCGCTGCTCGTCGGAGCTCGGCCTCGAGGACGACGACACGTGGGTGGCGAGCGACTCCGGGGACACGTGCACGCAGGTCGGCGAAAACAAAGACTCGTTGTGCGGCGTGGACGGGACGAGCGACGCGGACGATTTCGACGACGACGAGATCGTGCCCGCCTACGACGCCTGCGTCAAAGCGTGCTGCGACTACGTCCCCGCCCTCGACACGCAGACGCGCCGCCGCCGCCGCCGGTCCCTCGCGGCGCTCGCGGACGACGCCAAGATGCGCAAGTGGCTCAAGCGCGACGCGCGCGCCGCGCCCGCCGCGATCCGCGAGACGTCGACGACGACCATCATCCACGAGAGCCGCCGCGAGCACGTCGTCGCGACGGCCGCCGCCGCCGTCGTGCTCGTCGCGTCGCTCGCCTTCGTCTACGTGAGCCAGCGGAAGCAGACGGCGACGCTCGCGAAGCTCGAGCAGCGCCTCGACCAGATCCTCAAGCTCCAGGGCCGGGACGGTGCCCCCCCGCGCGGCCTCTGAGCGGCGCCGCGCGGCGACCCGGGAACCGGACGCGCCGCGCGCGCCGACCAAGTCCCCGACCCCTCCGTCTCGCCACCGAGTCGCCTCGACGGCGATTCCCGCGCTCGCGGACCCCTCCGCCCCACTCACCTCGCGGTTTTTCCCGGCCCTGTCATTCTTCTTCGGTCCGACCGCACCGCTTCGAGAACTCCGACCTCGCCTTGCTTCTTCGACCTACGGCCCGACCGCGCACCCCCTCCCCCCGAGAGCCCCGATCCCGGGCGTGCTCTCCGCTCCTCCGCCGGACCGGCCCGTCCAACCTCGGCAATCTTCGCCGACCGCGCGCTCCACCTCCTGGACGAGATCCGCGGCCCCTTCTTCACGCCATGTCTGTGCGGCGGCCCCGCGACCACCAACGACGGCGCGGGCCCGCTCCCCTCCCAATTCATTATCGAATTCACCAGCCTTAGACCGCGCGCACGTCCGACGGGTTCCAGCGCCAGGCGTTGCCGCCGGACCGGGTCCCCGCGGCCTCCGTGGCCCAGGACGCGCGGGGCCGCCCGAACTCGGGGAGGTCGCGGAGTCTGAGCGCGTCGCCGCCGCCGGCCGCGGCCGGCGCGAGCGTCCACTCGAGGTCCGCGCCCGACGCCGCGGCGTCGGCGAGGCCCGCGCCGCCGCCGGCCGGCGGCCCGACGGAGCGCCGCCGCGACGCGCGCCCAGTCGGTCGCCGAGGACGAAGGCGACGGCGTCGAGGCCCCCGCCGGCCGCGCGCGCCGCGGCGTCGAGGCCGAAGGCCGCGGTCACGGCCGGCGCCCAGCCCTTGACGCCCGCGCCGAGCGCGGGGCACGCCGCCGTCGTCGCCGCCGCCGCGGCCGCGGCGAGCGCGGCGGCGTACGCGCCGCGGAGCAGCTCCTCGGGCAGCCGGTCGCGGTCGTCGCCGGAGCCCGAGTAGCGGCCCGAGTAGCGGCCGTGCGTGAGCTCGACGTCCGGCGCGACGGCGTGGACCACGACGGCCGCGTCGAGGTCGCCGGACGCCGCCGTCGCGACGGCCGACCCCGTCGGGCAGCGCACGGGCGCCGACGCGCCGCGCTTGCAGCCGCCGGGCCACCGCGCGATGTCTCGTCGCACGTCAGAATCCTCCACGCGCGGCAGCTCGAGGCACGCGCGCGCGAGCGCGGGCCCGGCGGCGGCGCGCAGGGCGCCGTCGACGTTGTTGTCGCGGTGCTCGAAGCGCCAGTAGGCCGGCTGGTCGTTGCCGCAGAGCGCGTCGTTCGCGCTCGTGATGAGCGCGCCCGCGCGCTGCGCCTCCAGGCGGCCGCGCCGCAGCACGAGGCGCATGCGCGAGCGTGGCGCCGCTGCGCCGCGGGCACCTCGACACGCTCCACGAGCGGTCGTCCACCTCCTTGCGCTGCCACGAGCACCTCGACACGCTCCACGATTGTCCACCTCGAGATCCACCTCGCGGGCTTCACGTTGGCGGCACGGCTGCCTCGGGCGAGAATTATTGATGCCTACCATCTGTATGGAAACGTTCTTTGCGGCAGCCCGTCGACGTGCCGCGTGACCGCGGCGCGACCGCGTGACCGCGGCGTGACCGCGGTTCCGGCCGCGCTGCGGCGGCGGCCATGCGGCGCTGGCTCCTGCCCGTCGCCGTGGCACAGCAGTACTCGCCGCACTGGAACATCACGGACCCCCAGTCGCTGGCGACCAGCGAGCGGCGGGGCATGCTCGCGTACACGCGGTCGCGGGTCCTGGACATCATCGCCGTGGCGCCCTACGTGCTCGACGGCGTGCACGCGCTGTTCCGCAGCGGCACCGCGCGCGCGGCGCCCGTCGACTTCGAGCGGCTCCGCCAGAGCCTCTACACGCACGCGCGCGCCGTGGAGACCTCGTCGGCCTACTACGTCTACGCGGGCCTCGAGGACGGCACCTTCGCGGGCTACGAGGTCGCCCGCGGCGCCGTCGCGTACTCGCTGCTCCACGGCGGCGCGTGCCCCTGGAACTACAGCGCCGCCTGCGGCGGCGCCGCGGACGACCCCTGCGCAGAGGGCTACCCACCGGCCGCGCGGTGCTTCCGCACCTACGCCACGGACAACCACACGGGCGTGCCGCTCTGCGACCCGGCGAACGCGACGCCCGCGAGCGGCGCGACGCCGCAGCTCCGGCCCCAGGACGGCTGCTGGTTCGACAATCACGCGAGCGACGACGCCTACGACCCGCGGGCCCGGCCCTGGTACGAGGCGGGCGGCGACGCCTTCGACGCGACGGGCGCGACGACCCAGTTCTGGAGCGACCCCTACCTCTTCAGCACGGGCGTCGTCGGCGTCACGGCGGGCCGCGCGCTCGTCTCCTCAAGCGACGGCGCGTTCGTCGGCGTCGGCGCGGTAGACGTGAGCTTCGACGCGATCCACGCCGCGCTCGCGGCCTACGCGATCGACGAGGGCGCGCTCGTCTTCGTCACGGACGCCGCGGGCAAGCTCGTCGAGGCGTCGGACCTCTTCGGCGCGGGGCCCTACGAGATCATGGCCCGGGACTCGAGCGACCCCGTGACGGCGGCGGCGGCGCGGCTCGCGACGACGCCGGGCTTCGACGACTGGCACATGGCGGAGGCGATCTTCTACGCGCCGCGCCCGCGCGCGTGCAGGGGGGGGGGGGGCGCCACCGCCGCCGCGCAGGTCGACGACCACCCCTACATGCTCCTGCGCGTGAACGTCGACGACGCCTTCGGCTTCTCGTGGAACGCGACGGCGGTGCACAACGTCTACTGCCCCGACGGGCAGGGCCTCGACATGGACGCGCTCAAGCGCGGCCCCGCCGCGTCTCCCCTTCTTACGGTTACCCCCCGCGAGAAAGACGCGCGCAGGTGCGCGTCGTGCGAGCCGCCGACGTGGAGCGTCGGCGACGCGCTGCACTGCGACTCGTGCACGCGCGACTATTTCTTGGACGCGAGCGGGTCGTGCGAGAAGTGCCACCACGTCAAGGGGGTCGAGCCCTGCGACGCCGAGGGCGTGACCGTCGAGACGCTGGCGCTGCGGTCCGGCTACTGGCGGTCGTCGACCGACTCCCTGCGGACGGCGGCGTGCGACTTCGTCGACGACTGCCCCGGGGGCCGCGGCGGCGGCGACGGGCTCTGCGCGGGCGAGAGCCGGGGCCCCAAGTGCGCGCTGTGCGGCGCCGGCTTCGTCGCCGCGGGGAGCCCCGACGGCGAGAGCCTCGGCTGCGAGCCCTGCGGCGGCGCCGCGGGCTGGCGCCGCGAGGTCCTCGTCCTCGCGGCCGCCGCGGGGCTCGTCCTCGTCCTCGCGGCCGTCGCCCTGCGCCGCCGCGCGGGCCGCGAGGCCGCCGCCGCGTTCCTCGACCACCTCGACAGCCACGACGGCGACCCGTCGGCCCTCGTCGAGGACGACGCGGAGGACGCCGTCGAGGCCTCGAGCGTCGCGTGGCTCTGGAACGCGGTCCGCCCGAAAATCAAGTGCGCGATAATCCTCTTCCAGCTCCTCGGCGACATGGAGTTCGTGCTCGACGTGCCCTTCCCGCCGCTCTACAGCAAGGTCTGGAACGCCCTGGGCAAGGTCGTCAATATCGACCTCGTCGAGGCCGTGCCCCTCGGCTGCTCCTTCGGCTGGGGCTTCGGGACGCGGCTCGTCGTGACGACGCTCTGGCCCCTCGGCGCCGTCGCGGGCGTGTGGCTCGCGCTCGGCCGCCGGCGCGAGACCCGGGGCAAGGCGACGCACGCGTCCATCGCGATCCTCTACGTCGTCTTCCCGTCCGCGTCCCAGCTCCTCTTCCAGAGCTTCGTCTGCGAGAACTTCGACTACCCGCACTCCGACGCGTTCGCGCGCGTCCTCGTCCTCGACTACGCCGTCTCCTGCCGCTCGCCGAGGTACCACGCCATCCGTTTCTACGCCGCGCTCTTCTGCGCCGTCTACCCCGCCGTGCCGCTCTTCTTCTTCGCGCTCCTCTGGCGTCACCGGGACCGGCTGAACCCGTACCTCGACTTCGCCGCGTTCGTGGACCTGGCGACGCCGACGGGCGGCGGCGGCCTCAAGGCCCTCGCGGCCTCCGACGACGCGGCCGCGCGCGAGTCGCGCGCGTTCCTCCGCGAGCTCGACGAGGCCGTGCCGCGCGCGAAGCAGAGGGTCCGCGACGGCTTTCTGGAGATCGCGCCCTACAGCCTCCTCTACCGCGAGTGCGTGCTTTCGTCGCGCCGTCTCTGCCGCACGCTGTGCCCGCGCAGGTACGAGCCCCGGTACTGGTACTTCGATTCCCTCGACGCGCTCCGGAGGCTCATGCTCTCCGCGGGCCTCGCCGTCGTCGCGCGGGGCGAGTCCACGCAGACGCTCCTCGGCCTCTTCGTCGCCTTCGTCTACGCCTTCGCCGTGGCGACGATGACGCCCTACGTCGAGGAGGAGGACGACGAGATCGGCGGCGGGGCCCGGCGATCTTCGCGCGCGCGACGCGCCGCGCGACGCGCCGATTCCCCGCAGGCGGCGCCGCGATCATCGTCACGCTCGTCTACATCGTCGCGCTCGCGCGGCGCGTCGACATGTCCGACGAGCCGCGCTTCTCGCGGGAGGTCTACCGCGGCCTCCTCTTCCTCTGCGGCGTCGTTTTACCGCTCGCGCTCATCGCGCTCATCGTCGCGCGCGTCGCGCGGCGCGCCGCCGCGGAGGGCGACGAGGTCGAGGCGCGCGACGCGCCCGCGGAGCGCGACGCGCCCGAGCGCCCGCGGTCCCCGCTCGAGCTCGAGGCGGCCGAGCGCGAGCCTCCGCCGGGCGACGACGGCGACGACGGCCTCTACCCCGAGACCACGATCGCCTTCGAGGACATCACGTTCCCCGAGGCCCTCGCCAACGCGCCGGCGATGGGCATCAACGGCTTCCTGTGCTGCGCGCAGGCCTAAAATAGAGCGCACCAGCAAGCGCCGGGCGGGCGGGCCCGCGTTCGAATGGCAGCCCCCGTCGCGGCGCCTGGGCCAGCCCCAATGGACCCGCTGCCCATCTTCGAGCCCGGCGACATGCCCTCCATGGTCGGCGCGAACGTGGAGCTCGCGGCGGACGTCGAGGAGCGGCCGAAGAAGTACATCCGCGGGGCGTCGGCGCGGGTCCCGGCGTGGACCTTCGGGCAGGGGTGGGCGAAGCAAACGTTCCCCAGCACGTGGCACAATCAGATGATCTCGGGCACGTTCTCGAGGATGATTGAGCCGGAGTATGGCCTCTTCGTGTGGGACGACGGGGACGCGCCGGCGGAGCAGAAGACGCTGCTCGAGTACGTCAAGTGGGACGACAACGCGCCGGACACGCTCGAGGGCGAGTGCTCCTTCCTCTTCAAGGGCGTCCACGCGCTGCACAACGCGCGCCAGGCGCTGTTCCTCTTGCGCGGGGTCCTGCGCAAGCAGGTCCCGCGGGGCATCTCCGGGCTGGACGCGACGTTGATGCGCGAAGTCAAGTTCGAGGTCAAGACCGCCGACGAGTTCGACCTGCTCTTCATGTCGGCGCGCGCCTCGCGCGACGAGCTCGTCGCGAAGAACCCGAAGAAGCAGCAGACCTACTCGGGCGACGTCGCGGTCCGCCGGAGGACCATCTCGTACTCGTTCACGACGCTCAAGCAGTGGGCGGAGTACATCGGCGCGGAGGGCGCGGTCTTCACGAAGCACGGGTTCGACGAGAAGCTCTGCGTCGGCGTCATCCCCACGGGCGTGCTCAAGAAGGGCCTCGGCGACGACGACGCGCAGACGGCGTGGCACGAGGCCTGTGCGAAGCAGGGCTTGGTGCCCTTGGACGCGACGCGCGCGATCATCGGCGCGGAGAGCCTCCTGGTCTCAGAGGTCGCCCTGTCGCTCGCGGCGGACGCCAGGGACACGTGGATCTACTTGCTCGACGAGGGGACCACGGACGACCAGCTCGAGTACTTCTACGCGTTCGCCGAGGCCGGCTACGCGACGAGCCCGCCCGCGGAGACGCGCACGCTCTGGGGCCTCAAGCTCCAGGGCCACTTCGGGTGCATCCCCAAGACGCACATCTCGTGGGAGAAGTCGAAGCTGGTCACCGCGTTCTTCAAGGAGACGACGATCCGAGACTCCGGCGTGCCGCTCGCGGGAGTCATCGGCGATGGACCGCCACTCTGAAGTTCAGGCCGACGATCATCGCGCGCGCCTCGGGGCTAT